ATTAGGGTTGAAGCAAAACTCTGCAGGCCTGCGGCTCTCCAGGACTGACGTTCGCCACCCCTGATCTATACTGTCATCATTGAATCACCCTCATTTCATTCAAAATGGAAAATTAACCTGCTCTTGTCCACACAATTACAATGGACTCCAAATAAAGCATAAAAAAGCACCATAAAAGAATAAACAATTTGATGGTTTGGGTTTTCATCCACATATTTTTTGTGCCAATTCTGGTATTCTTGATTTTGCAATAATCTGCAAGGTGGATAAATGTTCTATTCATTAATTCCTAGATGCACATCCCCCCAAAAAAACATGTATGTCTCAGGAGAGTGAGTAAATTATGTTTGGTTGATCTATCCCTTTACTCTCAGAACTTCTGTATTACAGCACTTTCTCTCATGTTTATCCAAGTCTCACTCTCTTCTGTGATGTCGAGGGTCTCCACGGTCTCCTGCATGGGAATGGCTCTCTCATGTGTGTGACACGCACGCTGTACTCGCACGTCACTCAGTTTCACACCGCCGTCGCTCTCCTCTGTCGTCGGAGTTGGTTTGTTGTGCTCATGTGGAGTGTGTGTGTGCGGTGGTTGTTGGTCTGTGGGAGTCACTGTCTCGGACAGCTGCTGCTGGTGTGGATCAGTGTCTTCACAAACCTCCATCTCCAGTAACTCACTGTCGGATACTTCTGCAGCCTACAGGGTATGACATTCAGACTTCAATGCAACTCAATAAATAAAAATAAACACAGAAATAAAACTAATAAATACATGAATAAAATACATTAAAAGAAACACAAAATAAAAAGTACATATGAAAATACAATAAAAAAAAAACACATTTGTAATTACTCAAGTGTTACCTGTGCAAAATCCTGCTGCTTCTGCTGAATCTGTCTGCATTTACACGGAGGAAAAACCTTCTGCACCAGTTTCTTCACTGTATAAAAATCCACTGTGTCTGCGTAGATGTGCCTGCGCAGCTCATGCAGGTCTGCACCCTAAATGCAATATACAAATAATAGAAACAAATAACAACTGCTGCAGTGTAATTGACAGCTACAATTAACAAACTATTAAAATTCATTTTGTTAATTGAAATAAAGCTAAAATTACAAAATAAATATTAGATGAAAAACTTAAATGTAAATTAAAACAGAAATAAAATAATTGAAAGTTGAAGTACAAAATAAAACCGAATTTTTTTTTTTT